GAGAGAGAGAGAGAGAGAGAGAGAGAGAGAGAGAGAGAGAGAGATTTAGAATACCACCCACACAGTGTAGGGGCTTAGAAGTCCAACATTTGAAGGGCTGGCCAAAGGAGTCCCCAGACTGGAAACAATGATGGTTAGAGTCTTGAGTTCATGGATACAGTATTATTCTTTAAGTAAACTGTCCTTTTCTCCTTGAGTCCTTCACCTGACTGAGTGAGGCTCATCATGTTATGAAGTATTAGAATAATGTTACTATAAGCGTGCTAATTTAAATCTTAACATTTGTAAAATACCTTCATAGACATAATAATACCTTCAAAGAACATCTAACACTGATATTTCTCCAAATTTTTTTTCAGGGCTTACTCCATTTGATGGATAAATAAACCATCACATACTGTATAGACATGCAAGAAATAATTCGAATGAAAATTCCAAAATAACTTTCCTTCATTTTTTCCATGATTCAGAAAGTCCCTATGATGTCTGTTTTACCAACCTATTATCATAGACATTTTTGTACTAAAACATAAAGATGTTATTTGGAGTCATCAGTATTACTGAAGAGGTTGCAAGTGATCTATTCTTGCATTTTTCAGATATAAAGTGATATCTGTGAAGTTCAACACATAGTGTCAAAATTTAATAACGTCACAATTGGTGAATGTATATTTAGAGAACATCAAATATGAGTTCTCATTAAAACTTAAATGTAAGTTTTTAATGCCTTTAAAGTTGAAGGAATCTTCCTCTCTCTGAGTGGCAGATAAAAAATACTCATGAAATACTGGCCACATTCAGGCATCACCACCGGGTGTCAGCCCTGCTAGGGGATGAAGATGCATGTGGCCTTTTCTGTATGGATTTTAAAGTACTGAAAAGATGCCTTACAGTCGTGATCAGAGCATTAAGTGCGTTGGATGAGCATAGGATGCTGGCGATACATAGCAGAAGGTCTCAAAGGTGTGTGGAGACAGGAAAAGTCTTAGCTGAGTATGTGACAAGAAATATCCATGAAGATAAGGGAGGACAGACCAGATGAAAAGAACACAGAAGGGAGGAAGTGGCAGGCAAGGGAAGGGCAACTGTGAAATCAGAAAAGCAGGAAAACCTAAGACTTTCAGGTCCAGCATGGCTGAGGAGAAGAATGCAAGTGCCACTGTGAGGCCTTACAAGGCTGTGTAGTTACATGTGCAATGATGAAGCAGCATTTGTGTGCCTGATGATGACTTCCCCCTGATAGAACATCGATATGAATGATGCACATTGAAGGATGTGTCAGGAGGGATGGGAACACAGACAGGAAATGAGTCTACTTCCATATTACAGGGCTGAAAAGATGTGGTCCTGATCTAGGGCTGGAATCTTTTGGACAGGAAATGATGAAGTAGGAGAATGAAGGGGAGACTCTGTATGGCACACAACAGGAGCTCAAGGTAAACAAAAAATGAACACAACAGATTTCAGATTTCTGATTCAATCCTGAACCTCTTTTATTGCATTATGAGATTGTGGAGAAGTAAGAAAAAGAGGAAGTTGGGATACCACAGATTGAGGTCATAAGTTTCACTTGGAGTCGTTGGGCCTGTGATGCCTAACATGTGTGCAATGAAAGATGATTAGGTGTCACTGAAAGTTTTAGAGATGGGCACACCAGAGTAAAATGGTAAACTAAGTAAGTATTGGAGTATGTGAACATTTACGGGTTTATATAAAATTATGAGGATAAAGTTGACAGAAATTCTTCAAGAACACCAACATAGAAAATAATATAGATGAAATTAAAAATTAACAAATAACAGTCGCATAGGGAATCAATGAGGTAGGATATAGAAATACTAACATATCTTGTAACTCAATAGAAAAGAGAAATGCTTAGGAAAAGATGGAATACTGAAACATGTTAAAAAAGTAGTTGAGAGAAAGTCATTAATTAGTATTGTGATTACAGATACTTAGGGCTTAAAGATGATAATTATTGAATTATTGTGATGAATGTAAGAGTAATTATTGCAGAATATATACCATAATTATATTCATTTATATTTTGAATTTTGAGAGATCATTCTGTTTTTCTTTAGGATACTTGAGATTGAGAATAATGGCGAACAACCAAACTGCGATCTCAGAGTTCCTCCTCCTGGGCCTGCCCATCCCGCCACAGCACCAGCACCTGTTCTATGCCCTGTTCCTGGCCATGTACATCACCACTGTGCTGGGGAACCTTCTCATCATTGTCCTCATTGGACTGGACTCCAATCTCCACACACCCATGTATTTGTTTCTCAGCAACTTGTCCTTCTCTGACCTCTGCTTTTCCTCTGTCACAGTGCCCAAATTGTTGCAGAACATGCAGAGCCAAGTACCATCCATCCCCTATGCAGGATGCCTGACACAGATGTACTTCTTAATGGTTTTTGGAGACATGGAAAGCTTCCTCCTTGTGGTCATGGCTTATGACCGCTATGTGGCCATCTGCTTCCCTCTGCACTACACTGGCATTATGAGCCCCAAGCTCTGTTTATGCCTGGTGGTGCTGTCCTGGGTGCTGACTATGCTCTATTCATTGTTGCACACCCTGCTCTTAGCCAGATTGTCTTTCTGTGAGGACAATGTGATCCTCCACTTTTTCTGTGATATATCTGCTCTGCTTAAGCTGGCCTGCTCTGACACTTTTATTAATGAATTAATGATATTCATCCTGGGAGGGCTGGTTATTGTCATCCCTTTCTTGCTCATCATTGTGTCCTATGTACAAATTGTGTCCTCCATCCTGAAGGTCCCTTCTACTCGGATTATCCATAAGGTCTTCTCCACCTGTGGCTCCCACCTGTCTGTGGTGTCACTGTTCTATGGGACAATTATTGGTCTCTACTTATGTCCATCAGCTAATGATTCTACAGTGAAGGAGACTGTCATGGCTTTCATGTACACAGCTGTGACCCCCATGCTGAACCCCTTCATCTACAGCCTGAGGAACAGAGACATGAAAGGTGCCCTGATAAGAGTCCTTCGCAAGAAGAAAATCTCTTTATAATGATAGCACTTGCAGGCTTTTATTTGATTTATGTAGTAAATGTTTTGATATGAATATTACAGTATGTGACACTCATGGTATGCACATCAAAGGATACACTACATAATGTTCGGTATGCAAAGGAAAGAAAATTTGGCAAAGCAGCTCAATTAGAGAAGGGAGCCTTGGTTACTCAATGACACCTTTGTTTTTGCCTTGTACTGGTGCTCCTAGAAAAGCATGAGATGAGATCTACTGCCTCATCTGGTCTCCATTCCTTACATTCTTTTTTATGTGTATGAGCGTAGTTCCACATGTAAGTGCACCTGTGTCACATAATGCCCTCAGAGGTCATAAGAGGGCATTGGATTGCCTGGAACTGGAGTTATGGACAGTTGTTAGTCACCATGTGGGTGTTGGTAATTGAACCCAGGTCCTCTGGAAGAGGAGCCACTGCACTTAACTGTTGAGCCATCTCTCCAGCACCATTTCTGTACATCCTTAAGTTATACAAAAATGTTATCATTATATGCAAATTTTTATTTTGAATTCAGTATAATATTTAAATAGTAATATTGTATCATGATCTTAGCTTGATAGCATGCAAACATCTCAGTGTCACAAACACCTCCTAATGTCTTCTACACTAATTTTTGCATCATTTTATCTCTTAACTTTCACTTCCCTTTTTATTTCTATGTTGTCTTTTCTGGCCTCTCTTTACCCTGAACAAATTTTGGATCCTCTCGCAAATTAGTGTTATTTGTATCATATTTTTCTTTAACTTGAATTAATAACTAACCAGGAACCATTCAGTTTATTTCCCAAAACTCAGAAAAAGAAACTGGAAGAAGAATAAAATTCAATTTTTCCTTTAAATGTGTATTTTTATGGAATTTTTGTGTGTTTCATAAGAAACATCTTAATCATATTTAGGTTCCTATCTGCACTCCCATAGCCTACCCAGAGGATTTCACGAATTTTATTATATATGTTAAAGTCTACCATTTCAAGTTTGTGTACCCAAATGTCTCTCAGTGTGAGTTCATCCATTGGAGCCTGGTCAGCCTATCTAGAGTCACCCCCCTAAAGAAGATCTATTCTCCCTCACCCAACAGTGATCAGCTGCCAATAGTTCTTCAGCTAAGTTTGGGGCCTGCTGGCACATTTCCTCAGGTCTATGCTAGCTTGTATCTAATTGAGTTTGTATGGGTCTTCTGCATGCTATCACCATTGCTATAAATTCATATGATCAAGTTCCCAGGACCCTGTAAGACTCTGTTTCTTGGGGTCATGCACCACTCTGGCTCTTACAGTTTTTCCACCCCTTCTCCACAACGGCCCCTGAGCCCTGGGTAAGTAAGATTTAATATGAGTCTTATTCAGTGGCACAGTCTCTGCAGTCTCTTATTCCCTACACTTTGGCCACTTGTGGCCTTCTGTGTTCATCGCCCTCTATTGCATGAGGGAGCTTCACTGGTGAGAGATAAGAGATGTATTAGTATTCTCTATACCCCTCATTCCACTATATTCCATGAACCTTAGGTGTAGAGGTTCCATTGTAGATGTGTCACATAGGATTGGGCATCTACAGACACTCACTTGTTCTCTGTGTGTGACAAGTTGTGGAACTCTGTAATAGTCTCCATCTGTTGCAAAAGAAGCTTCTTTTATAAGTGGTGACTGATATATTTGTCTGTAAATATAAGTATACATATTTAGCATACAGTAAGAAATTACTTTTGTCTAGGGATATAACAGACATAGGATTTTTTCTGGTATCTATGACCTTGCCAGCCATGTATATTTGGATAAGTTTGCAGTGCTACCCATGAATTCCCTCTCATTGAGAGGGCTTTAAGTTAAATTAAATAGCTGATGATTACCCCCAAGATAGAAGTGCCACTATTTCACTGATACATATTTCTGTGCCAGTCATTGTTGTGGTTATTAGACTTTAAATCTGGGGTCAGATCATTGATTAATTTTATCCCTTAGCAACTTGCATAGAATCCTTCAGCACTATGAGCTAGTCTTCAGGCAGGGGGAAGTTCCAGCTACAAATCCTGTGTCTGAAGTATGTCCTGTCTTCAGCAATAAGGTCTTACCTTCAATTTCTGGAAGGTAATCAAGGCCTGCAGCAATACCCTCTATCATTTTGGGAATCTCCTGAACTACCCTGACTCACATCTCTGGGTGAGGTTCCTCTTGTCTGATACTGTGTTTCTTGTTATATAGCCTTCAGCTGTACTAAAATTCAGTTTTTAAGGACTTTTTCATTTCCTTTGTATTTTGCTTTGCAAAATTCTTTATATGCATATTTTATTGTACCTGAAAAATATGCAATTCCATCACTTCATGTCATATGCAAGGTTAGATGCTCCAGGATAACATGGACTAGGTTTCCTACCTTGATCCATTCATTTTATTTGTTCCCTAAAGCTTATTATATTCCCTGTGACTCCCTCATCTCCATTTGAATCCCAGACTGTCCAGACCTTGCTGCTGTTCTGCTCTTCTGTCTAGTGCACATCTCCATGTGTGGCTGTGTGTATGTTTAAATCTCAACACACACAAACTTAAACTCTAAGTCCTATGGCAAGGCTTTTATATCATGTTTTCATTGATGATGTCACCTCCAGCCAATTTTTCTGAGCCCCCACTTCTCTATGTGCATGAACATTCATAAAAGTTAATAATGGGGGCTGGAGAGATGGATCAGCGGTTAAGAACAGTGGTTGTTCTTGCAGAAGACCTGGGTTTGAATCCCAGCACCCACATGGCAGCTAACTGTCCATAACTCCAGTCCCAGTGGATCCAACAGAATCTTCTGACCTCCACAGGCATTGCACAACACGGGGGAATTACCTACATGCAGGCAATACATGCATACACATAAAAATTTTTTAATGTTTTTTTTAAAGTGAATAATGGAACTCCCCCAGCCTCATTCACCCTCCCAGCTCCCCGACCCCATCTCTCCTCCTAGCAGGGACACTGGCCCATCTCCTGTCGTGACACCCCAGACCCATTTTCTGACCTCTTGGCCCAGACTCCCCACTAGTTCCTGATCCTTTACATCCAGACCAAGGCAATTCCTCCCTCTAGTCCGGGAGCCCTTGGGGCCTCTTCATGTCCTCACCTCCCTTTGCATGTCTGGGCAACCCAGCCTCTCAGCTTCATGGGGCCAGCATCTTTCCTGGAGGGATCCGGTCCTTAGGAGAAAGCCTGAGAGCATCCGATCCTCATCTGACTTGGGCTGCTGTGGGAACTTCAGAGCAGGAAGACAAAATCAAATTGGTCCCTTCAATATAAAATCAAAAGAGAGAACCTGAAGCCTAGACCAATTTTTCATGCCCAACAAGTACACCACAAAGGCACACAAAGTTTACATGAAGAAGCAGACCTAAACTCAATAAAGGAAGGTTTGAGTATCACACAAGAATCAGAAATGCCTCTGGACTGGTCCTGCCCTCACTTCCCTCTGTTTCCCTGGGATGCACAACCGGCCAACCTCTTTCCTAGACACCTGGGCTGACCCCTAGGACCGGAACCACCATTGCTTCCTGATCCCTTGCATCCAGATGGACCCAGTTCCTTCACGCTATCCCCAGGAGCCATCTGGGCCTGGTCCAGCCCTCATATTCCTCTGTTTCCCTGGGCCTGCACAACCTGCCAGCCTCTCTCAGGGACCAAACAGTTCCTCAGTACAGTCCCCAGGAGCCCTTGGGGCCTCTTCCTGCCCCCATCTCCCTTTGCATCTCTGGGTGGCATGGCCACCAGCTTCCCAAGACCAGCATATTTCCTTAAG